AGACCAGAGTCTGATTATACAATCAATCCAGAGCTTCTGTTCCCAGCTTTTACCTACCTGGAGTAGGAAGACTTCCCCTGGTGAGGCGTTAGAGAGGCGGGGTACTCAGAGTAGTTTCTGCTCATTAAATAAAAACACAACTACAGCTAATGAGCTCGACTCTCCCATATTCCAGTCAGAACTTACAAAGCTCCTCGAATGAGAAGTGAAACATCTTCAAGAAGCTAAAGAAGTCCAGCTTCCTTCATCTGAACCTTCTGGGTCACCATGACCTGGATGACAGGGAACCTTCACCAGCATCTGTCTGAAATGTGGAATCCCAGAACAAGGATGGATATTCAGTCAGATGCTGTTGAAGATGTGGAACCAACCTAGAGGGGAAAACAAACAATTCCAGACTTGGTGTTCCCGTCGACACAGACAGATTCATGTCGATCCCGTGTAGCTCACGTGTTCCAGGTTTGGTTTTACCAGCAGGTAGTCGATCATTCCCAGTACAGAGGCAGCAAATCGGATCAGATATCATTTTACGTTATGATGTGTGGCAGCATGGCAGCAGAATGAAGCCTGCTTCTGTTTTCCTCCTCAGAGATTTGAACCACAACAACCTGGTGGAGTTTCCCACGGCCATCCGCTCCCTCAGCCACCTCAAGGAGCTGTGAGTCCCACCTTTACGTCCGACAATCCGACTATTCTACAGTTTACCTGAGGACTCACGTTATAGGAATGGATGCTAAAGTCCTTTTTTCCTGTTTAGTGGTTTCCATAGCAACAACATCCAGTCTATTCCAGAGCACGCCTTCACTGGGAACCCGTCACTGATCTCCATGTAGGTACCACTGACCCCAAACAGTTCTGAACTGTACTGACCTTTGAGGCCTCCTCTGTTTCTGTTGATTCTAAAATGTTTTTACTTCTTGTTTCACAGATTCTTTTACAATAATCCGATTGAGTCTGTTGGACGCTCTGCTTTTCAGAACCTGCCAGAGCTCCGGACGCTGTGAGAAACACAAACTCACCCGACACAAGTGATGGAAATAGTTGTTTTAACACATTCTGCTCCTCAGAAGTAAAATATGACTAGAAACTGTCACGCTGCTATCGGCTAGCTGCTAAAGGTGAAGGGGGTAACCTCTAAAGGTTGTAACCTCTAAAGGTTGTAACCTCTTAAGGTTGTAACATCAAAAGACTGTAACATCTAAAGGTTGTAGCCTCTAAAGGTTGTAGCCTCTAAAGGCTGTAGCCTCTAAAGGTTGTTGCCTCTAAAGTGTGTAACCTCTAAAGGTTGTAGCCTCTAAAGGTTGTAACCTCTAAAGGTTGCAACATCTAAAGACTGTAACATCTAAAGGTTGTAACATCCAAAGGTTGTTGCCTCTAAAGTTTGTAACCTCTAAAGGTTGTAGACTCTAAAGGCTGTAGCCTCTAAAGGTTGTTGCCTCTAAAGGTTGTAACCTCTAAAGGTTGTAACCTCTAAAGGTTGTAACCTCTAAAGACTGTAACATCTAAAGGTTGTAACATCTAAAGGTTGTTGCCTCTAAAGTTTGTAACCTCTAAAGGTTGTAGCCTCTAAAGGTTGTAGCCTCTAAAGGCTGTAGCCTCTAAAGGTTGTTGCCTCTAAAGGTTGTTGCCTCTAAAGGTTGTAACCTCTAAAGGTTGTAACATCTAAAGACTGTAACATCTAAAGGTTGTAACATCTAAAGGTTGTTGCCTCTAAAGTTTGTAACCTCTAAAGGTTGTTGCCTCTAAAGGTTGTTGCCTCTAAAGGTTGTAACCTCTAAAGGTTGTAACCTCTAAAGGTTGTAACATCTAAAGACTGTAACATCTAAAGGTTGTAACATCTAAAGGTTGTTGCCTCTAAAGTTTGTAACCTCTAAAGGTTGTAGCCTCTAAAGGTTGTTGCCTCTAAAGGTTGTAACCTCTAAAGGCTGTAGCCTCTAAAGGTTGTAGCCTCTAAAGGTTGTTGCCTCTAAAGGTTGTAACCTCTAAAGGTTGTAACCTCTAAAGGTTGTAACCTCTAAAGACTATAACATCTAAAGGCTGTAGCCTCTAAAGGTTGTTGCCTCTAAAGTTTGTAACCTCTCAAGGTTGTAGCCTCTAAAGGCTGTAGCCTCTAAAGGTTGTTGCCTCTAAAGGTTGTTGCCTCTAAAGTTTGTAACCTCTAAAGGTTGTAACCTCTAAAGGTTGTAACATCTAAAGACTGTAACATCTAAAGGTTGTAACATCTAAAGGTTGTTGCTTCTAAAGTTTGTAACCTCTAAAGGTTGTAGCCTCTAAAGGTTGTTGCCTCTAAAGGTTGTAACCTCTAAAGGTTGTAACCTCTAAAGGTTGTAACCTCTAAAGACTGTAACCTCTAAAGGTTGTTGCCTCTAAAGTTTGTAACCTCTAAAGGTTGTAGCCTCTAAAGGTTGTAGCCTCTAAAGGTTGTAACCTCTAAAGGTTGTAACCTCTAAAGGTTGTAACCTCTAAAGGTTGTAACATCTAAAGACTGTAACATCTAAAGGCTGTAGCCTCTAAAGGTTGTTGCCTCTAAAGGTTGTTGCCTCTAAAGTTTGTAACCTCTAAAGGTTGTAGCCTCTAATGTAACCTCTAAAGACTGTAACCTCTAAAGGTTGTAGCCTCTAAAGGCTGTAGCCTCCAAAGGCTGTAACCTCTAAAGGCTGTAACCTCTAAACCCCAGTAGGCACTTAATCAGATACAGGTCATCAACCTTTTAACTAACCCTAACCATTCACCATTTAACTGAACAATGAATATGAACTTATTTAAACCTGCTTACTGATATGAATTAAACTGAACATAAATCTTTATTTGACAGTACATAATAATGAACAAAACACCACAGACAGTTAGAAAACCTGCCGGATTTTAGCCCGGAGCTAAATTCCCATCCGTTGTTCCACGGAAAGGGAGCAATTTCATAGCAAATAAAAATGCACATTTAATTAAATGCTGAAGTTTGTCAAAAGCCAAACTCTAAAATTCATTTTAAAATGTTGATCATCAGGCAAACACAGCACACCTCATGACTTTCTTATTCCACAAACCTACATAAACACGGCCTGGCCCTGAACCAGCAGGGTTTCAACCCTCCAGTTAGAAGAAAGTCTCTTTGTCTTATTTTGCTTTTTATTCTTAGTGGGCAGTTTTAACAGCCCGAGTCAGCGCCCCCTGCTGGCCATCATGCAGGATCAGCCCTTTAGGCCCTAGGCCTTTTTTCTTTGGGCTCTGGCGCCTCCCAGTTGGGGGCCTTTGGAGTTTCATGTCCCAAGTGTCAGTGATGGTTTGTGTTCCCCGAGCAGAGCTACAGCTACAATCAAACCAGTTTAGATTGTAAACAAAGCAATGTTTGGTTTTTGATGCATTACGATAAAATAATACTTGAAACTTTATTTTAGAAGAGCTGCCCTGTGGGAACGTGCTGACTGGATGGAGGTTGTGAGTTCAATTCCATTTAGGAAATTTAGTCAATGGTTTTATTTATTCCTGGGGTCCTCAGCTACATTTGTTCAAGGGTTTTTTCAGCAGACACCAGAGAAGATCAGATGCTCTTCTTAAATAAAGTTCAATCATAATTTTATCTTCATTTATTACCATTTAAAATGGCCTTGTTTCCCATCTGGGCTGTCTGGTTGTGGTTTTAGTCGTGTTTGGAGAATGCGGACAGTTGTAGATGTTTGGGACATGAACCTGTAGAGGACCCCAGCTGGGGGCGCTAGGGTTGAACAGGTTAAAGACTTTCATTTTGAACCAGATTTGAACAGAGCTGTTTGTAACTAGAGATGCTCGATGTTGGCTTTTGTCCCGATATCCTGAACACCGATACTGACTCTTAGTAACCGATGGTGATATGAATTCATGCTGTGTCCCGTTTGATAAAAACAGGAAACCTAAAACCTTTTGGGTCGCTAGCATCACATATGTCCTGTCACGCTTACATTTAGACATTTTCTGTGCTAAATACTTGATTTAAGTCTGTGAGAGGAAAGGTGCCATGTCTATCCCATTCTCTCTGAGCGTGATGCTAAGATGTGTGTGTGTGGGGTGACGGTGGCACAGGAGTTAAGTGCTCGCCCTGTAATCAGAAGGTTGCAGGTTCGAGACCCGCTCAGTCTGTCGCTGTCGTTGTGTCCTTGGGCAAGACACTTAACCCACCTTGCCTGCTGGTGGTGGTCGGAGGGACCGGTGGCGCCAGTGCTCAGCAGCCTCGCCTCTGTCAGTGCGCCCCAGGGCAGCTGTGGCTACATCGTAGCTCATCACCACCAGTGTGTGAATGGGTGAATGACTGATTGTGTTGTAAAGCGCCTTGGGGGGTTCCAGGACTCTAGAAGGCGTTATATCAAATACAGGCCATTTACCATTTAAGTACTGGCATGGTTTTTTTGGAGCTGTGATGTTAAAACATTTAATAAGATCTTCAGATAAGAGAAGCGAGTCTTGGGTGAAGATTCTTGTTTTGTTTTAGGGGTTTGTTAGCTGCTAGCTACACGTAGCGATGTGCTGTGAGGACAGCACACACACACAGGGCTGATTTCTACTTCACAAGTTGTGCCAAATAAAAAAAATCTAAAATTTCTCAAAGACCTGACCTCAGATCCGTCATATTTGGACATTTTGAGAGAGAGGAAAAGCAGCTGCAGAGTGTGATGTATAACATTTGTGTGCTATGTAACAGTTGGGTCATTAAAAGAGTGAAAACCGATACCAATATTATCCAATTAAAAATTTTAATGTCGACGTCGGCCAATATATATGACCTAATAATTCGGACATCTCTATTTGTGATGTTTTACCTCTTGTTGTACTAAAGGTCAGTCATCAGTGACTCAGTGGTTACTCTGAGTCTCGTGTAATCAGGTGAATAACTTCAAGAATGTGACAAACTAATGAAGAGCAGCTTTTCTAAACTGGAATTCTGTCGTGTTTCACCTCAGATCTCTGAACGGGGCAGCAAACCTCACAGAGTTTCCAGATCTGACAGGAACCAAAAGTCTGGAGAGCTTGTAAGTCTCTCTCTCTCTCTCTCTCTCTCTCTCTCTCTCTCTCTCTCTCTCTCTCTCTCTCTCTCTCTCTCTCTCTCTCTCACACACACACACACACACACACACACACACACACACACACACACACACACACACACACACACACACACACACACAATGGCCGCTGGTTAATTTATTTTTGGGTGGGATGCATTTTTGCCATTAGTTTTCAGGTGTGCTAGCAACAAATCACCACTAGGTGACGTCAAATTACAATTCTTAACATGCTTAACATTCACCAGCATATGCAAACTACTCATGTACTTAAAGAGCAAGTCACTCCAAATCAACATTTTTTTGCTGATAAACTATATAAATGAGTGTCTGGTGGTGCTGCAGACACGTGTAGTCAATAATTCGGCACTTTAGTGCATTTTAGTTAAAATTTAAATATTCTGCCTAAAACTGTCAGTGTTGCACTGTCGTCAGGTAAAAGTTCAGCACTGCATTTGAATTTAAATCTGCATCGCTATTGGCTAAGAGGTACACTATGATGTTAGATGGTCCATTATGATGTCACAATGTCATGAGTGTGTGTTGTTAGCGGCTCCATCCTCTCGGTCTGCTAGGCAACAAATCCTGTTGCCTAGCAGAAATAAGAAACATAGATTGGAAAGATGTAACAAAGGAGCAGGATCCAGTTAAAGCTGTAGAGATCTTTGACAATTTGTTAACAAAGGTGATAAATAAACACGCACCGATGAGGAAACAGGCAGTAAGACATGTAGCTTCTCCATGGCTGGATACAGAACTTAAGGAACGTTTGAGGCAGAGGGACAAATTAAAATTAGAAGCAATAAAAACAAATCAATTGGAAACATGGTGCGAATATCGCAAAATAAGGAACATTTTAACCAAACTGAATAAAAACAAAAAACAATTATATTATCATAGAAGAATCATAGAAGCTAAATTCGATAATGCAAAGGTGTGGGGTGCATTAAACGAACTTATGGGGGTTAAAAAAGGAAGGCACCTACTCTTCTAGAGGCAGATGGAGTTTTTTTTTTAACTAAATCAAAAGAAATAGCTGATTATTTAAAACAGTTTTTATCAATACAATTTAAACATTGAATAATACCAGGGAGGAGAGAAAAGATGAAAATACATCTTATCAAAGAATTAAGGATGATATAATGCAAATGAAAGGCTGTGAGTTTAAGTTTATGGAGGTATCAGAGGATGACATAAAAAAATCAATCTTAAATAGTAAAGATAAACCCCCTGGAATGGACGATATTGATATAAGATTGCTAAAATTGGTGGTAGATTTTATCTTACTGCCAGTTTCACATTTAATTAACATAAGTTTTAATCAAAGTATTTTTCCAGCCCAATGGAAAAAGGCAAAAGTAATTCCATTAATCAAAAATAACAGAGGACCACTGTCTGGTAAAAATAGTCGGCCAATAAGTTTGTTACCAGCATTAAGCAAACTTTTGGAAAGAGTAGCATATGAACAAATACAAGAATATTTTATAACTAATAGATTAAACACAATTTATCAACATGCATATAAGGCGGGTCACTCCACTACTACTGCACTTGCTCAGATTACTGATCATTGGTTAGAAGAAATAGATGATAAAAAGTTAGTTGGTACTATATTTTTAGATTTGAGTGCAGCTTTTGATGTGATTGATCATAAAATTTTATTAAAAAAATTAGAACGTTATAGATTTCAGTCGTCCGCCATTAAGTGGACAGAAAGTTATTTAGCGAATCGTAAATTCAACTTCTATTTTAATGGCAGTTATTCTGAAACAGGTCAGTTAGATTGTGGAGTGCCACAGGGCAGTTGTTTGGGCCCTCTTTTGTTTTCTATTTTTATTAATGACTTACCTTTGATTTTAAAACATGCAACCATGGCTATATATGCAGATGACACTACATTATTTGCATCAGCAAAAACAGAAGGCCAATTAAATGATATTTTGAAAAATGAGTTGGATTTAGTTACACAATGGATTAGAATGAACAAACTAGAAATCAATGCAGAAAAAACTAAATGCATGATAGTTGTGAATACATATACACTACAGATGACACCTAGACTGCATTTGAAGCTAGGTAATATAGAGATAGAGCAGGTAGAAGAAGCAAGACTGTTGGGGGTAATTGTGGATTCTAGATTGTCATGGACTAGTCACATAAATCATGTCCTGCTGAAACTTGGAAGAAGTATGGGCACAATCAAATATTGTTGTAAATTTATTCCTCGTTTGCAGATAAAAACTTTAGTTCAAACATTAGTACTGTCTCATTTAGGTTATGCATCAGTTATTTGGTCTAATACAAGTGAAATGAATTTATATAAGTTACAAGTGACTCCTCCTTGAACCGTCACCTTATCGTGGTGGAGGAGTTTGAGTGCTCTAATGATCCTAGGAGCTATGTTGTCTGGGGCACTTAGTGCCCCTGGTAGGGTCTCCCATGACAAATTGGTCTTAGGTGAAGGGTGAGACAAAGAGCGGTTCGAAGGATCTTTCATGGCGGTTAAAACGAAGAGTCGGAGTACCCGGCCCGGAGGGTTACCGGGGTCCCACCCTGGAGCCAGGCCTGGGGTTGGGGCCCGTGAGCGAGCGCCTGGTGGCCGGGCTTTCGCCCATGGGGCCCGGCCGGGCCCAGCCCGAACCGGATACATGGGCTCGTCCAACTGTGGACCCACCACCCGCAGGAGGAACATGAAGGGTCCGGTGCATTGTGAATCGGGTGGCAGACCAAGGCGGGAGCCTTGGCGGTCCAATCCCCGGACAAGAAAACTAGTTTTTGGGACATGGAACGTCACCTCGCTGGCGGGGAAGGAGCCGGAGCTTGTGGCAGAGGTTGAGCGGTACCGGCTAGATATAGTCGGACTCACCTCGACACATAGCATTGGCTCTGGAACCCGAGACCTGGAGAGGGGTTGGACACTCTACTTTGCTGGAGTTGCTCCGGGTGAGAGGCGGAGGGCTGGGGTTGGCTTTTTGTTAGCCCCGAGACTCTCTGCCTGTGTGTTGGGGTTTACCCCGGGGGACAAGAGGGTAGCTTCCTTGCGCCTTCGGGTCGGGGAACGGGTCCTGACTGTTGTTTGTGCTTATGGGCCAAATATCAGTTCAGAGTACCCACCCTTTTTGGAGTCCCTGGGACGAGTGCTAGATAGTGCTCCATCAGGGGACTCCATTGTCCTGCTGGGGGACTTCAATGCTCACGTGGGCAATGACAGCTTGACCTGGAGAGGTGTGATTGGGAGGAACGGCCCACCTGATCAGAACTCGAGCGGTGTTTTGTTATTGGACTTCTGTGCAAGCCGCAGTTTGGCCATAACGAACACCATGTTCGAACATAAGGATGCCCACCGGTACACTTGGTACCAGGGCAGCCTAGGTCACAGGTCGATGATAGATTTTGTAGTCGTATCATCTGACCTGCGGCCGTATGTTTTGGACACCCGAGTGAAGAGAGGGGCGGAGCTGTCAACTGATCACCACCTGGTGGTGAGTTGGATCAGATGGCAAGGGAACATGCCACGTAGACCTGGCAGACCCAAACGCATAGTGAGGGTCTGCTGGGAACGCCTGGCAGAAGAACCTGTCAAGACGGTCTTCAACTCCCACCTCCGGCAGAGCTTTGACCACGTCCCGAGAGCAGTGGGGGACATTGAGTCCGAGTGGGCCTTGTTCCACTCTGCGATTGTCGAGGCGGCTGTTGCTAGCTGTGGTCGTAAGGTGGCCGGTGCCAGTCGTGGTGGCAACCCCCGTACCCGCTGGTGGACACCAGAGGTTCGGGGAGCCGTCAGGCTGAAGAAGGAGGCCTACAGGGCGTGGCTGGTCTGTGGGTCTCCGGAGGCAGCAGACAGGTACCGGATAGCCAAGCGGGGTGCAGCAGTGGCAGTTGCCGAGGCAAAATCTCGGGCGTGGGAGGAGTTTGGTGAGGCCATGGAGAAAGACTATCGATCGGCTCCAAAGAGGTTCTGGCAAACTGTCCGGCGCCTCAGGAGAGGAAGGCAGCAACTCGCTCACACTGTTTACAGTGGGGATGGGGAGCTGCTGACGTCAACTGAGGCTATAGTCGGACGGTGGAAGGAATACTTTGAGGAGCTCCTCAATCCCACCAATGCGCATTCCGAGGAGGAACCAGAGCTGGGAGGCCTGGGGATGGACTGTCCGATCTCGGGGGCAGAAGTTGCTGAGGTAGTCAAACAACTACACAGCGGCGGAGCCCCGGGGGCGGATGAGGTTCGTCCTGGGTATCTCAAGGCTATGGATGTTGTAGGGCTGTCATGGTTGACACGTCTCTACAACATTGCGTGGTCATCGGGGGCAGTTCCTAGGGAGTGGCAGACCGGGGTGGTGGTCCCCATCTTTAAGAAGGGTGACCTGAGGGTGTGTTCCAACTATAGGGGGATCACACTCCTCAGCCTCCCTGGAAAGGTCTACTCCAAGGTACTGGAGAGGAGGGTCCGATCGATAGTTGAATCTCAGATAGAGGAGGAGCAATGTGGTTTTCGTCCTGGCCGTGGAACTGTGGACCAGCTCTATACCCTTGCAAGGGTGATGGAGGGGGCATGGGAGTTTGCCCAACCAATCCACATGTGCTTTGTGGATTTGGAGAAGGCTTATGACCGTGTCCCCAGGGGCACCCTGTGGGGGACGCTCCAGGAGTATGGGGTGGGTGGCTTTCTGTTAAGGGCCATTCAGTCCCTTTACCAGAGGAGCGTGAGTTTGGTCCGCATAGCCGGTAGCAAGTCGGACCTGTTCCCAGTGAGGGTTGGACTCCGCCAGGGCTGCCCTTTGTCACCGGTTCTGTTCATCACTTTTATGGACAGAATTTCTAGACGCAGCCGTGGTGTGGAGTGTGTCGAGTTTGGTGGCAGGAGAATCTCGTCTCTGCTTTTTGCGGATGATGTGGTCCTCCTAGCTTCATCCAGCTCTGACCTTCAGCTCTTGCTGGGTAGGTTCGCGGCCGAATGTGAAGCGGCT